TGACACCAAAAAAAAAAAAAAAAAAAAAAAAAAAAGGCACAGGTGGAATTCTACAAAATTGATCTACAAGCAATAGAGGGCCCCCCAAAAATGTGGACTTAAAATCTTGTTCACAGAGCCATTCCTAGGGAGATTCTCTATTTTGTTTCAAGCTGCCATTCTTTCAAACTCAGGTAAAAAGCCTTTTCTTACTGCTGACTTCTCGGGCTTTTTCATCCCTGACGAGGCCAGGACTTAGAGAAGGCAGGGGTGTGGTGCTGAGTCCTACGGCTACAGTCAGAAGGGCACCAGGATGCCAGCCTCTCCCAGGGGGAAGCTCTGTCCAGTGGTTTTAAACACGATTTCTTCAAACATAAAGCTGAGGGATAGGGAAGCCGGGTTCTCCAGAGGCAGGAAGGGAGACGGAGAGACAAGCTAAAATTTAGAGGTCCCCTTCCGGTGAGAACCTCGGTTAGCCCTGTATTAGTGCTGGCACTCGGAGTGACTGGGGCATTTAGACAGGTTAGGGGTGTCCGTTGTCAAGGCCGAGTTAGCCAGGCACAATCAGAGACACGTCCACGCCTACGTGGTGGGTTAGTGGCGGCCACGCGTGCACACACAGCTCCTTCATGGGGCCCTGCCAAGCAGGCCCCGCTGGTGGTGTTCTCACCCCCTGCCTCGCCCGCGGGCTCACTCTCTGCCCTACATCTGCTCTCAGCTCAACGGGGCCTGGGGCTGCTTCGTCGTCCTCCTCACATGACCTGCGGAGAATTATTCATCATTGAAGGTGCTCCTTGGGGCAGCTGCTCCCTCCGAGCTGGCCCTGCTCGCCTCTCTCCCGTAAGTTACCTTCCACTCACCCTGCCACCTCGTACCACAGAGAAATCAGCTGATGGGATCACGCCACCACGTTGGGGGAGACCATTTTCCCTTTTACTGGAAGCTCTGAAATCCAGCCAAGCAGACCCCCCCCCGCCCCCCGCCGCCCAGGCCATACAAGTCCTCTCGTCCTATGGTACCAACTCTTATCACTTCTTGGAGGTGCCCAAGGGAAATGGACCACGCTGGGCATGTGGTTCCATTCAAGTTTTATCATTTCGGTCATTACAGGGTGGCTGTGATGCATGGCCCCTGGGGCCACTGCCAGAGGCATAAGTGCTACCACAGGGCTCAGTAACTCCATTCTGTGAAAGAAAACGTTCTACTGACAAACTTTGGGGCAAAAAGCCAAAAGACTTGGACTTAGGGGCTGTGGTAGTGCCCTAAACTTCAGCTGGTTGAGAAGGGACGTAAGAATCTTCCACGGCCAAAAAAAGAGCAACTAAAAGTGGGTACAGGTCTCTCTATCTGTGCTGGATCTGAATCAATAGGGGCCTTGATTCCAAAAAAAAGAAAGAAAGAAAGATGGGACTCAGAACAGGTGACTGCAGTGCTTGGGAGATGCTTCCACTGGCTAGGGGTAGATTTGAATGAGCCTCTCTACTTTGGCTTTCCTCAACGTTAATTCTCACAGGGAGTGTCTCAACCTCACCCCACCCTGCCCACCTCACGGCCGGGTCCCTTACCTTGGTGTGACCCGCGTGAGCTCGTCTGAAGGGTGCAGGATGCGACAGGTGGTGAAGGTGAAGGTGGAGTTTGTCTGTGACATGCACTTCCCAGGGTGGTGGGCTAAATCAGGGGCAGGGGGAAGGGAGGAACAAAATATAGTCCTTGCATCCAAGTACACCCATGAGAAAAGTCAAAATCCCGCATGGCCCTGGACAGATGCAAGAAGCGATGGGCTACCTTGTGAACTGGATCTGGGCGAGGAAGGTGAAACGCAAATGTTCTGGATCGAAGGTGGTCCCTCAAAAATAACCAGGCTGTTGAGCACTGGTGTGCAGAGCATCGAATTCCAGCTTCCAACCCAGTCCAGACAGGGTTTCCCATCAGCGTTCTTTGGCCAGTAGTGGATCCAGTTTGAAGGGCTAATGGGCCCTTGGGGGTAAATTTGGGTTCCCTCCTCAGAGGTCCAAATCGGCTTCCTTCTTTTGTTGCTTTACTTTTCTTTTCATTGGCAAATAGGTGCCAAACTCTGCCAAGGGGTGGGGAGAGGTGTAGGGCAGGGAGAGGCACTTGCGCCTGGGAACAGGGCAAGGCTCACGGGCTCCCTTTTCTGTTTACACAAAAAGGGGCTTGAGGAAGCTGGCTCCACTACTGTCTAACTGTGGTCGACAGGGAGGGAGATGGGGCCTCAGCTGCCTCAGCAACAACGTGGCAGGAGTCCCAGGGCCTGGGTTCTCCGTGGGGCTGAAGCTCCAGGACCTGGGCTGGGCTGACACACAGCGGTGCAAGCAGCACCAGTCCCCCTGGGCTGCTTTCTTGCCATCTCTAGGATGTCTGGTTTCTGATGAAAACGAGACAGAACAAGTTGTCCTCAACTTATTTCCTCTGAAAGCTCCAAAGAGTTGTTAAGGCAGCTGAAAGACTAAGATCTGGAGCAAAGTAAATCACAGAAGCGTTAGGACCATGCACCAGAAAGCCGGCAGGAGATAAGTAGGAATAGAGTCTACAGGAGACATCATGATTGTAGAGGTCATCCTCATTCATAACTCAAATGTAAAAAAAAGAAGAGAAAAAAAAAAGGAAAAATGATGCTGCTCCCAATAGCATGCAAGGTGAGGTCTGGGTCAGCCCCCCTCCCCACCCACTCCACCCCTGCAGCCTCTCAGCCCCCAGAGACCTCCTTGGGAGACAACGGATTAGGATATTGGAGGCCATGGGCATGCTGAAGATTCGAAAGGCTGGAACTAGAATCTTCTAGCTCTTTATGGCAAGTTTTCTCTTGGATTTGACAAAAAGGAAAAGGAAAACAAACCGGAAGAGATCGGTGCCCCGAACCTACAGATCCACACACGGGTGACTGTATCTTAAAACAAAAAGAAAAGAAAAGAAAACACTAGAACCCAGATGAAACAAGCAAACAAAAACATATCGGAGACACGCAAATTGAAGGCAGGCAGGACACAGCCAAAGCACAGAAAACGGTGGCGGTGACTCAGGAGCTACGCAAGGCTGGTTTCCCCTGATTATTGTGGTCCAATCCACATCTTGGTGTCAAGGAAGGCTCCCGTGGCCCCTGGCATGGCAGCCAGCACCATGGCCATAAGAGCAAACTCTCAGCCACTGGGAGCTCCAGGCAAAGCAGGAGGGGGGTGGAAAACACATGTAAAAATAGCCTTTGTGCATCTTTGTTTCTCAAGCAAAAAAGTAATGGTTTAGGAACTCAGATAATTGAGAAATGACTGCGAGCAAAACAAAAATGGAGGAAGCTATGAAGAAAAGGCAACCAACCAATCACGACTCTCTGATTGCAATAAGGTCTAGAAACAAAAGCAACAAAAAACCTGAGAAAAGCATCCCAAATAACAGGCGTGAGGGGTTATTTGGGAGGGAGGAAAGAAAAGGGCAGTAAGTATAAGTAATTAAGACAGAACAGTTGAAAGAGAGAGAACATTTTTTTAAAAAATCAAACAAAAGCAAGGCTTGATTTAAACTTAGAAGTGTACCCCATTCAAATACATGGCCAGAATATCAAAACAAAAGGTCACACATGTTCACTTTCTCCACCCCATTACATATCGGATCTTCAATCGTTAACAGTTAGTGTGAGATGGACATTTTAGAGAGACAGTTGCATCAGCAGAAGCAAAACCCATCTTATTGCAAATGGGTTTTGGGAATAGGAAAAGGCTGCTAAAATTCAGAGGTCATCATTCCCCAGAAGCGATGGACAGCTTTAGAAGACCAAGGAAAATCAACAACAAGGATCAAAAGTGCCAAAGCCAGAGGTTCGGCCCCTCCGCAGTACCACTGGGATGCCTGGACCGGCCAGCTCTCCGAGTCACCACTGCCCACCGGGCCGCTGCAGCATCTCCCTTCCTTGGGACACAACACAGAGACAGTGAGTCACCCGAGGCTCCTTGAGCTGCTGGGGGCTGATTCCTACAGTTCTGTGAACAGGAGAGAGCAAATTCCCAAAGCAAGAGGCACCGACAGAGTCCTCTAGGCAGGGAGCAGGGGCTCAGTGGGAGCGCTCACTATTGCAGTCACCACTGCACCCCAAAGCCCTGCCTTAGGTGCTGTGGGTTAACCGCATGCTGCTCGCTCGGGGCCTCCAAGGACAGGGGTTTTGGATTTAATGTTCTGACTTCCTACTTAAATCCTCATTCCTTTTCTCGGTCTGACTGGAGGACTGCAGTGTTGTGAGCCAAAAGTATTAACACTGACAAGTACTTTCATCAAGTATTTTATTTAGGAATGAACTTGCATTTCCCCCCCTCAAAAGACCCTAACCTTTATTATTTTTATTTGTTCCTCCCCCCGCCACCGTGGGTTCTGAAACTGGTACAAAATCCTCATCTGTCAGAGAACCTTTAAACTTAATTAATCCTTGATTATTCAAGATCGTCTACGTTGGTGAACTACATACAGGTAGCTACCGTGCAGATTTTTTGTTCTTTAAAATGTGCCACGCAAGCACACACCCTTCAGCCGAGGTGGGGTCTCAGAGGGCTGTATAAGGAGGACAGTGCCCCTGCCCACCTGCACTCTGACCGACCCACGTGTGCTTTCTGCCCAGAGCAGGTGCACTTGGTAAATGGCTCTGACTGGCTGTGCTCCTCTAGGGGCACATGGTGCCTGGTACTGACTGGAAAATTGGGTGCTTGGGATCTTGCCGCCGCAGCCAGTCGTGAGGGAGCCCTGGCCCAGCCCTGAGTCTCCAGTGAGTTGGGGCTTCCTTCTTGGATGCCCTGAAGACCACGCTGGGGATTATCTGCAAGTGTGCTACCCAGACCAGGTTGACTGCTGCTTGGTGGAAGGCTCGGGTCTCCAGGGAAGATGGGCAGGAAAGCCCAGTGCTCTCCTCGCAGCCCAGGGATCCAACGGTGAGAAGAGGAAAGAAACACGGATAAGGTTTGGTATACCGGCAGGGACCTGCAGGGTGACTGGGCTTTGCAGCCTGGCCGTCCACATGATGAGATCTGTTCACACGAGCTCATGCATGTCGGTCAATTGGAACGATGCTTTCCTTCCCCTACCCACAGGGAAGGCCAGGCTGGGAATGTGCCGGGGAGGCCAGAAACTTCTCTCTCTAAAGGCCATCATAGCATCGTCCTTAAAAGAACCCTCCCGGGAGCCCACACAGCTGTCAGGGTGCAGCTGCACCTACTGAACTCTATGTGGAGCTGGGACCTACACACACACGGCTTCCAAAGGGATCTCTGAGGACAGAGGAATGCTGGCCATGCTACACATCCAAGATACAGAAGTAACTTATTAAAATATTTTCTTTAAAATGACAAACCCATCCCAAAATCTTGGAAAAAAGGGTTTTATCTTTGTGACATACTGAGAGCCTTCCAAATTCTTTTCCCACTCTTCATGGGAAGTGGCCAACTTGTGTAAAATAAACAAAATGCCTTGACCTTTTTCCCCTTTTCTTGATTTGAACATGTCGTGTGAAGCTACCGTCACAGGACTTGGATCTGCTCTGCCATTTCTATAAACTCATTCACCAACACACACACACACACACACACACACACACACACACACACTCCCCCCACCTCCTTTAATTCTAGTAGCTGCCACCACATCAACAGTGGCATCGACCGGCCGACCTTTTCTGTCCAAGCAAAAACAAACCTATTGAAAGTAAAAGCATCGTCCATCCAGCTTAAAGGCATGGCTTGAAAGCCCTGCAAACGTCAGTACTTTTTTTTCCTTTCATCTTTTTACCAGCTTCTAATGACTTTGTTGTTTCTTGCTCCAGGAGTAACCACAGTGGAGGTGGGATGCGTATCTTTGCCTGTCAGCTACGTGACCTTTTTTTTTTTTTTTTTTTTAAAGCAATGTTTTAGAATTCTTCCTAAAAAAAACTAAACTCTCAGGGCATAGAAAAATGCTCTAAAGACTTTTTCTATCACTTCTTTATATAACTCTGCGTGTGAATTTTTCTGGAAAAAAAAGTTCTATGATGAGTCCATGTGGGAAAAATTCCATAAAACCTTTGTTTGCCATGTGCTTCATCATTAACATAAATACTGTTTGGGATTAATGTGGCTTTAACAAGTGTTTTTCTCTGGGGGGGGGGGGGTAGGGAATCAAGGGCAGTTTCAGATACAGCAGTACAGCTTCTTTTCTTTTTTAAAAATAAAAGTGATATTAAACTACACAGTATTACAAGATGACATTTTTAAGCCCTTAGTTCCAGGCTTAACATGGGCCTGTGACTCTTTTTCTCTGCTTCTTAAGCATTTCTTTTATACAGCCCCTGTGTGGTCCTGCAGCTCTAGGGACCCCTGAGTCCCCAGTGCAGACATCCAGCCCAGAGGCACTGGGGAGGTTTCTAGCACAGAGATTGTGAACCACATCACAAGATCTCTTCCTGGTTTCTGTATAACTTGTGTTTCCTGAAAATTTTTTTAAAATAAAAAGTCTACTTGTCCCCCTACACCAAGCTGTCTACTCTGTTTCATCTAAAAAGTGACTTAACAGAGGAACAATCTCACGGAATGGCAAAGAGAGGACCAGAAATTCCCTCAGGTGGCCCTTGGGGTATCTTCAGGAGATAAAATGACTTAAAAATATATATATATATTTATTTATTTTATTTATTTTTGCCTGCGGCAGGTCTTAGTTGCAGCACGCGGGATCATTGTTGAGGCGTGCAGCATCTTAATTGTGGTGCCCGGGCTTCTCTCTAGTTGTGGCGTGTAGGTTTTCTCTTCTTTAGTTGTGGCGTGCAGGCTCCAGGGTGCATGGGCCCTGTAGCTGTGGCCCGCCAGTTCCAGAGTACATGGGCTCTGTAGTTTGCGGCACGCAGGCTCTAGTTGAGGCGCGTGAACTCAGTAGTTGTGGCACGCCAGCTTAGTTGCCCCGCGGCATGTGGGATCTTAGTTCCCTGACCAGGGATCGAACCCATGTCCCCTGCATTGCAGGGTGGATTCTTTGCCACTGGACCACCAGGAAAGTCCCCAAATCACTTTTTAGAATGCTGTTAAAAGATCAAAAGTTGGATTCTTCGGATGCCAACAAAGCTGGACCCTGCGCCCTCTGCCTTCATGTCCGTCCTGTGGCAAACACCAACAGGTGCGGGGAGCGGGCCTGGCTAAGCGGCCGCAAGTCCATCATCCAGCTGGTGCTACCAGAGCCTGTTCAAGAGCGCACTTCTCCCGTGTGTCAATAGGCGGCGCAACTGGACAACTCACCGGAACCTCAACGCGCACCCACGTGCTACCTCAAGGGCCCTCCACTTTAGAAGAGGCATTGTGCAAACAAACGCCCACTCAACAATCCAAGTGGGTGCCCCCTGGAGCACGGCAGTGCCCTCCTATGGTTTTCAGAGGTGAGGTTCCATAGAAAAAGCAGTCCCAGCAAGCGGGCTTGTTCTGGAAATGTTAAGCAGGGTTGACTCCGTGCTGTTTGGGATGAGTCAATTACGTGACTCCTCATTCACTTTTCACTTTGGGCTGCACTGGCCTGGTTCTGGTTTACTATACATTTTGATGCAAGAGCACAGGGCTTCCTTAGCATCTCCTAATACAGGGGGGTGAGAGCAGACCCCAGCTTTGTCCGTAATAACCAAACTGCTGTAACTGCTACACACCAGGGTGGGGTTGAAAAGTCTTCTCATTAGAGTGGGATCTCTTTGTCAACTCCCTCGGTGGAGATAAGAAGGAACCTTCCCAGAGGGTCTGTGAATCGAATGTATCAGACGTTCCCTTCTAGATTCATCAGGTCCTCACGGCCAACGTTCCCTCACAAGCCCCTTTGGGTCCTGCTTCTGCAGTGGGACTGACAGTGCAACAGGATGCCCACCCGGGGCTTTGCTCACACCAGCCCCTGCCCCAGAGGAGGCTGGAGTGATACTCAGTTCCTCGAGCTTTCTGTCTGCCTCCTTTCATCCACCAGCTGTTCCCTTCTCTTCACGTAACCTCTCCTGAACAGAGCCTGGACCTACGTATCAAATAAGCAAGCTACAAAAGAAGCTAGTTCTTGGCTTTTGCTTCTGGGGGCCCAAGTGCTGCAGCCTCAGGGATTTTCAAGGGCACTTTTGACCAAATGTGATTTTTGCCTTCAACACTCAGCCTCAAAAATGACACACAGGGCTTCCCTGGTGGCGCAGTGGTTGAGAGTCCGCCTGCCGATGCAGGGGACACGGGTTCGTGCCCCGGTCCGGGAGGATCCCGCATGCCGCGGAGCGGCTGGGCGCATGAGCCATGGCCGCTGAGCCTGCGCGTCTGGAGCCTGTGCTCCGCAACGGGAGAGGCCACAACAGTGAGAGGTCCGCGCCACACACACACAAAAAAGAGACACGCAGCTCCACTGCAGTACCACTGCCAGATAGGCTGCCATGATTTATCGGAGCCTGTTTTAGGATATTTCTCCCACTGGAAATGGTCTCCATGTGTATGAGCATCAAGTAAACTGACCTTTGCTTTCTTCTATGTTGCTTTAATCCTGCCTCTGTCTCTCCTTTAAGAATCAAGGCATCCACGATAATTCACCTGGACTGTCCATCCAACCATCTGCTGACCTAACTGTGTGACTTTAAGCTCGGACCTTAATCCTTTACCACATGCAGGCTCTTCTCTACACATAAATACCTAAAATTCAGAACACTGGCAGTACAAGATTATGTCTATTTCTGATACAAGTGCACTTTCTATACGAATTAAAACATAAAATATATTACTGAAATAAAGTAAAACTGTAATCTAAAAATTGTTTTACATAGTCCATTTTAATCATCTAAATTATTTACAAATATAACAAGGATTTATCCTTTTTAAAGACACGGGATTATAAAAATCAAATAATGACACAATAATACATTAAAATATATTAATAAATATTTTTCAGTACTCAAAATGTTTTCTCCATGAGAGAGCAGGCTCTAGACAAAAGTGCCTAATATACAAGTTTTCCCAATCTCCTCTCATAATACCAGTTGTTAAAAAAGAAAGGTTAATCACCTTCTGCCTTCAAAGGTTCTCCCTACTCAGTCTTCCCAAGGCAGATGGAAGCTCCTGGAACTGTGCTGTTTGGCAACAGGAAAGGGCAGACCAAGGCAGGGACCAGGCCAGCAGGGGCTACAAATTCCGAGACAGAGGATGCCCCAGGCTTTCCCACTGAAACTTATCTGTCTACCTGTGACTCCAAGATTGTGTGCATAATGCCACTCAGGGTCCCTGGGATGATTTATGTAGAGTGACGTGCTTCTTACATTCCTAGAATCAAAGTGGTTCTGTCATTCCCCCCAGAGAAAAAAAAGAGCCAGATCATTGTCCGTGCCTTTCCCTCCTGCACTGAGCTTTTACCAAGTCTTACCCAGAAAATAAGCTCGAAAGAACCTTTGCCTAGATGATCAGACCTTCCTTAAATTACCTACAGCAATCTATATAATTCTTTCTGGTTGCACACTACCATTGTGACTCCTCTGTAGTTTCCACTGTACGTTTGTGTGCCTCTCCTCAAAGTTGCGGGATGGATTTGCTGCAGGTTTGAGGAAGGTGGGAAGAAGCAATGGATACGCCTTTGTTTGTGGTAAGGAAAGTGGTTAGGACTTAGCTCCTCCTAACTGTCCCCTTGCTCCCTCTGTCCTCAGAGAGATATTCTTAGATGAACTGATAAGCTTTGTCCCTTCTCTACAACTTCTCCGAGAGAAACCAAAGGGTGCTTCTTTAAATTTACAGGATTCACCTTCTAATCCACCTGCAAGACTGCAGGGAGGGGTCACCACACTCAACACGATGCCTGCCCCTTCAGCCACAAAAGCAGCAGACACAGTGTCTCCTGTACCATGGTCTGCCTTCCAGAGGGGCACCAGTGCCGATGACACAGGGAGGTAACAGTACCGAAGGAAAAAGCGTTCCTTTTCTTAAGTGAGAAGATCCTAAATAATATGCATTTTCATTCCCTTGCAAGCTTAATCTGGCAACTCAATGGCTAAAAATTAAAATAAGACATAAATAAACCCAGGTGCTAAATAATCCTTTTTACTTGATGATACCTCTAAAGTTTATGTCAAAGAAAAAAGAAAAGTTCCTTGGCCAGAGGTGTGTGAACTTAGCCAGGGGATGGAGAGACACCACCATGAACCTCAGCTCTCTCCTGCCCTGTACTCTATGCGGAGTGTTGTACCTCTCATGAACGAAAATTATCAGTCACAAAGATGAACGTCCTCTCCTCAAATCTGGTGGCTTGGGTATGTCACGAGGATGACGACATTGGGTTAATTCATCTTTTTCTGGGTCTCTCCCCTCAGCCCAAGCAGCCAGGGGGTCCAGGAAGCCTGGGGTAAATAGTAAACCACGTGACCCTGTGATGCCAGGGCCTGGGCACAAAGCTTTTCATCCCAGTGAGGCCTAGGATGTGTAATTCTGCAACCTCATGATCATATCTTTAATACTGGGGTGGAGGGAGGGTGGCACAGAGATCAGTCAGTGCTCTTTTCCAGATTCATCTAGAGTCCTCTCTCTAAAAAAGCTTACTGACATCGTCTCAGGGTTTGCTGGATTAAGGAGTATTGCTAAAACACTTTTAAAAAAATCTACTTTGGGGCTTCCCTGGTGGCGCAGTGGTTGAGAGTCCGCCTGCCGATGCAGGGGACACGGGTTCGTGCCCCGGTCCGGGAAGATCCCACATGCCGCGGAGCGGCTGGGCCCGTGAGCCATGGCCGCTGAGCCTGCGCGTCCGGAGCCTGTGCTCTGCAACGGGAGAGGCCAAAACAGTGAGAGGCCCGCGTACCGCAAGAAAAAAAAAAAAAAAAATCTACTTTGAACACATGTATAAGCTGGAAAGAAAACACATACGCCTTCACTGCAGTTAGGAAAGGGAACAGGCTGATCTATGAAGTGATCTCTGAAATCCTGAACACTTTCTGGGCTTCTTCCAATTTTAATGCATCGTGTAGGTAACAGATCCTCTCATTCACCTTCTGAACAATCCAGCACTCATAATTGCCCCTCAAACTGCCCAACTCAGCTCAGCTGTTTGGAAGTCACCAGGGGACCCGAGAAGCTGCCTTTTAGACATAGGGAGAGAGCCAGAACAGGAAGGGGAAGCTGATGCTCGGGGCGGGTAGGGGGCAATAATCCACTTCTTTTTAGCAGCCTTTCCTGCTCCCCTTCAAGAGCCCGCCAGGCCATGCACCTCCAAGGTGGGCAGGGAGCTGCACCCATTTGTTACAAAAGGAGGCATCAGACTCTATTAAAAAACGGAACCGCACAGTGGGAATGCTTTCATCATCACCCACACAGACGAGCAGAAGCTACAGACAGAGAGCCACTACGGATGGTGCTTGGGACAGAAGTGAGAATGGCCTGGAACTCTGCCTCCGGTAGAGATGCCAGGTTCACAGGAGCGATCGCGATGCCCTCACCAGACCCCTCCTCCTCCTCGGCCGCCGGCGGCTCCTGCATCTCCTCTGGGAAAGCCTGAGGCCGGCTCGGGTAACTTCTGCTGCCTGGGACAGTCACGCGTGCTCGGGACCTCTCACCTGAGGTCTCTGGGTGCTGAACTGGCGTGGAGGTAGCTAGGCCCGGGAGGGAAATGTGGTCACCTGTGTCGTCTTCTTCGAAGTCGCTGAGGCAGTACACTTCGTCCAGGTCAACGTCCAGCGTCCGGAAGCCCTTGGTGACCACACCAGGCCGGGGGTCCAGGATGCCCCCGAGGTGAGGCTGGGCCAACTGCTGCCAGTGGTGAAGGGTGGCAGAACCTTGCAGGAGAAAGGGCAGACGGGGCGACAGGGAGAAGAGAGGGTTAGGACGAGGGTCTAAGCGGTGGCTGTTCACCACCCTCCAGTGCGGAGCGTGAGCCCCAGGGGGCCCTGGGTGCCACAGGTGGACTCTGGTAGGGACACCCATCGAGCTTCCCTTGCCCCTCCTGCTGTGCAGCAGGTGCTAATCCCCTTCCATGCCCGGAAGGGGCACCAATTAAGGACGAAAATCAGTTTCTCTACAAAGTAAAATTAACGCCATACTATGTACCAAGGATGTTTGGTGACCAACTCTTTATTTTAATCAACTGATGTCAACCCCCAAATCCAACATAGAATCACTTTAGAAATAGAAGAGGAGAAAATAAGCGAGGCAAGCACAGAAGAGGGGTGGGAGGGGGGAATGTGTATGGATTCTATACCAAGTACACACAGCTGGGAACAGGGAAGACAGAGCAGAGGCAGAATAAGACGATGTCAAACCAACTCTAGGACCCACAACAAGAGAAAAGCAAAAAGAAATTAAAGTAGCACGCAGAGAAGTGGTGGGCACGGCCGTCACCTCCTTTACCTAGGTTTTCTGTATTCCGCCAACAAGCCTGACAGGCTGCAGGTTTGGGGAGTGGGAACTGGCTTAAAGAGACGTGATTTAAGAACACATAAGTCCACACAGAGGTCTGAAGCAGAGGAGCCCATCTCCTGGCGGACACCAGAGCCTGGGACTCAGATGACACCAAGCAAGGTCTGTAATAACACCGGAGTGCGTCCTTGAGGACCTGGAAGGTAAACCTGGTGCTCCCAAAGAGAGGTGTTCCAAGACCAAGTCTGCTTAGGAAACTTGGGTTAAGAAGTGTATTTACTGAGGATCTACATCTCAGAACCTTTAGCATGTTATTCTGTGCCGGGACTCTGCCCAGCCCACCTGCTAGAGCAAACCTTCTCCCCCTTAGGACACTTAATACCCCTCACATGGCCCTGGTACTGTGGGTGCCCCGCCCGTGGGCATTCTATCCCCATTCCACAGATGAAGAATAGCCACGCCAATAACATTCCACGCGCAACAGAGAGACTTTGAGAACAGTTCTCAATGAACTCCCAGACACTCACTGCTGGCTTCCTGAGGGCATCCTCTGTTGGGAGGGCAAGAATCCCTCCAGACTACCAGGATGCCCTGGGGAACGTCAGAAAGGGGAACCAGGGATGCCAGGGGCCAGCAGCTCAGGAGTCCAGATGAAAGAGAAGTGAAAGGCAGGCAGGCAGGCAGCGGGGTCAGGAAGTGGTCCAGGAATGTAACTGAACTCCCCGACCCTCCGCTGTGCCCAGTGAGTGCACTGCCTCCAAAACACTGCTGGGAAATAACTCTTCGTGGGGCAGTCTCGGCCGAGGAGTCTCGAAAGGATTTTGCAAATGGGCAATTTCAAATCCACTTAAAAGAGAAAAAACTGTACACACTCAGGTGTCTCTCCCGGTTTTAAGTGTCCCAAGTACGATAGCAATCTACGTAACCCCAACCTATTGAATTTAACTAGAAAATACTCTAAATGCAAAAGAGAAAAGAGATGAAAGGTACATATAATGAAACAAAGCTGTGCATGGGATCCTGAGTCCCAGGTGCCACGGCACCATTTTTTAACAAGCTACCCTGTATGGAGGCGTGCCAGCAGGGCAGCTTGCTTTACATGTATCACCTAGACTCACTCCTCAAAATCGCCCTGCAAGGTTAAGTATTATTACCCACACCTCACAGACAGAGGTTCACTGAAGTTACGTAACTTCCAGAGTCACTGAGTTAGCGGGAGCATAGCCAGGGTTCAGTGCTAAAGGCCCAGTTCTTTCTGTAAACTCATCCTGCCTCCCTCCTCAAACCATAGGTCTGAAAACTAGCCAGGAACCTGGGCTCAGTGAGAATATGGAGGAATAAATGGCGGGCAGTGCAGCTTCCCCGTGGCCGTCCAGGGCCTGCCAGGAGATGCACACTCTCCCACCGATGGGGTTTCTCGTGCCACTCCTGGGGACCTCCACGCCTAATAATCCAAAATGGGCCCCCGGTTTGTGTGTTCACTGTTCACATGTCCACATTCCTGGCAACAAAACTGCACTGGGGAGAAATTTTAAACAAGGCAATACGACACCCAGCTTGGGGTGGCGCATCCCGGTCTTAGAAGGAAGATGAGAAATCCCCAGATGCAATGTGGCCACGGCCACACTGGGAAGGGGACTGAAGGGAAAGTCAACACACTGGAAAGTGAAGAACCATGTCAAGGAAGTGGCAGATCTCCTCATCCTTCTGAAGGGGGTTCTAGACGTTTACAATGCACCGGGAAAGAACTCATTGAGGCTGGAGGTCTGGGCCTGGAAAAGAGTCCCGTGGGCCTCCATTCTCCATCTGTTTAACAGGCTGCCCCATCTCTCCCCACCCCATGCATGAGTCCGAGAGAGAAATGAGGCTACGGAGAGTTGCTATTTGGAGTTAAACAGGCTACAGAAGTACATGGAGTTTTTTGCATTCCCTGAAAGTGCAGAGCAAGGAAATCTAGTGAGATTACAATGGAAAGGTTATGCAGAAAGATGCATACTACGTGCCTTTTTACCCCACGCCTCAGGCCTCCTTTACTCACGGAATAGCCAACCTTTACTGAGCACTAAGGGCCAGGCTCTCTTCTAAGACGCCTACATTTACTGACTCAGTCATCAGGATAACCCTGCCATCGTCACGTTACAGATGAGGAAACCAAGCGCAGGGAGGTAAAGTGACTTGCCAGAGGCTGCACAGCCAGGCTTTAAACCCAGGCTGGCTCCAGTGCCCAGCCTCTTGACCATAAACGTCACCTCCCAGACAGCACTGAGGACGCCTCACATAATGTGAGCCTCAGAAATCAGGTCAGTAACACACGCGAATGGTGTTCTAATCCTCAAACAGGTGTTTTCTATTCTACAAAAGTGACTATTGGTGAAAACCTCTGCAAACTTGACTGTCATGTGAGTTCTGCCATGCAGGGAACTCATGGACCATCTCCACTCCTGACTGGTTCTGAGGCCCGAGCAAACGTGGTGGTCCAGGCGTGGCAGTGGATGGGAGGTGGAGTGTGAGGGGTTCTGCCTTATTCAGAGCCTTTGTTGTCTCTTTCTTATCCCGTTTCCCCAGCTCCCCGCCACCTCCCGTGCCCACCCCTCCTGGCCTCCTCTGTTTGTCAAGCACAAAGCAGGAGGATTGCTATACTACTAGCCACCTCCCATTACCATCACCTTCTCCCACCCACATGAGAATGAAGCTGGGGTCAGGCAGGCAAAGAGGGGAACCTTCACGTTCCTAGTTGGCACCAGGATGGTCTATGGAGCAGGGCGTGGACAGTGCAGAAACGTAATTACGGTCACTGCCCCTTTCCTTCTGTTTGCTTTCTTTCCACACCCCACTGTTCTAACTGAAAGGTTTTCATGTCACCAAAGGAGAAGAAAACTAAATCCATGTATGTCAGCAGAGCACCTAGGGCTTAAAAGTTAGAACTAAACCTGCTGGATAATGTACGGTTTGGAAGTGTATGCTTTTCCCTAATTACATATTAACTTGTTTATATTTGGAAATACTATCTGGTTATAATCAATCAGAAAGGAAGAGCAAAATAGAGGGGGAAAATACTGCCTGATTCATCCTTTTAATGCCGATATATCTCTTTCTAGTTTGAATATTTTGTTTGTCCTTTACCTGCTTAAAACGTGTAAGATGAAGAGACAAGATTGCTAACATTCTGAAACACCTATAGCCCAGTTATTTTGGCTGACACCAATGAGCAGATAGCAAGATTAATTAAATAGGTAAGGGAGACACAGATGGACGACACAGATTGGCTATCTGCTATGATCCCAGCCAACATTCTCCAGGGGCCTCACCACAGGTACATTTACCTGGGCCACTGGAGAGCATGGGAATCCTATCAGCTTCTTGGTGGCAGTGGAAAAGGATGTAAGAACACTGGCCCCAGCAAAATACTGGTCCAGGTCTCAACACTGGTAAGGCTAGCCCTTACACCTGAATTACTGGAATAGGGGCAAGTTCAAGGAGCCTACAAGTTAATAAGCACCTATCAGATGCTGGGCACGATAAAAACACATCACATTTATTCCTTGACACAATCTTGTGTGGCAGATGTGAGCCCTATTTCACAATAAGGGAAACAGGACTCAAAAAGGTAAAGTAACTTATCCAACACCACAGTTAGAGCTGTAATGAACCCAGCATCAGGCAGACTTCCATGTCAGCACTTCACCATATCAAATTAAACATGGTAACACAGAAGTAATTGTAGAGGAGAGGACGAAAAAAAATATTGGTGGTATTTTAAACAACTAAGAAGTCAGAGCACTACAAAATGGAGCCAGAGGGATAGATCTCTATCATGAGGATAGCTTACAGCCCATAGTGATAAGACATGACTTTTTAATGGTAGTGATAGGGGTTCCTGGTGAGCAGGGTACTACAGTTGAAATTTATCTTGCAAATCTAATGGGATTTCCTCTTATTCTATTAATTTATCACAAAACTACTGCTATCTACGTCACAAGATTAAAAGAGAAAAGGATGCATTGGTCAAAACAACTTTAAAAAAAAAATCTCTTCCTACAATATGCTTGGAAAATGAATCCAAAAACATATCCTTAGATGATCTAATGAAACACAAAGTAAATTACAGAAATCAGACAAGATAGAGATGGTAAATTCCAATGACCTTTGAGAGACAAAGGAGAAAAAAGAAAAGAAAGGCAAAAAGTAAAATTGCAGAAATGGAAGATTTTATTGAAAGAAAAACAGACATAATTATGGATCAGAAAACAATCACCAAGCTTACAACTGAATAAACAGTTTAAAAAAGGATGAGCCATTCCTCTTCTGAAATCTAAGAAGCACCTAAATTATACAATTAAAAAGTAATTATGAAAAAAAGTGTTCGCCCACCCTCTTCCTTCCTTTGGAGAATTATGGCACCCAGCATTTCTTGGGTCTTTTACAAGTACAACCTCATCTTACAGCATGCATCCTGACAGGGGTGATACTGCCCCCCAGGGTTGAAAACTGTTCTTCTGGGGTGAAAAATGTACTCTCTTTAGGCACAGATACACATAGAACACATATATCTATGGCATTAACTTCTCGGGGGGAGGGATTGGGAATTCATGTCTAAAGTGGCTTCTTAAAGAGGGTAATAAAAAAAAAAAAGGTGAGAAATACTGCCTTACAGAAATTCTGATTTGGCTTTGCATTAGATACATAGTAGAATTCTGAAATACCTTCTCAAACTCTCTTGGGTTTCCAAACTAAAGAAGAAAAAAAAAGAAAATTACAAGCACTTAGTGGCTCTCAGCAGGGTAGTGGTAGGTAAGGGGAACACATGTTATAATGCCTAAAGCAAAAAGAAGGAAAAAAAGGGGAGTTTTTCCATGAGGTTAATCATCTAGGATGTCCCTGACACTAGAAACTGAATTGCCCCTGGAAAAGGTAGGCTTAAAGAGGGACAGGACTCACTCGCCCCCACAGCCACCCCCTTCCTGGCCCCCAAATTGTGGAGGTCTACAAGCCTTGCTCAGAACACTGCATCTGCAGAAAGCCACACCCTCTTTATTTGAAGACCAAAGCGGAACATGTGAGTCAACAAATAGCAAACCGCTTTCACCTGGTTATTGAAAAAAACAACTTACAGCGTTTGCTTTGCACACCCCCTCCCTGACACCAAATTTTTTGAGAAGTCAAAGCATCAATTGGCTACACTTCTCACACCCCCAGGCATGTCCTGATTAACCTCTGAGGATGTCAGGAGCGCCTCTGCCTCCCCAAAAGATTTGTACTTCTAAGGTCCTAAGTGCAAGAGAAAGAGAACTAGGAAAAACGGCGCCAACACGTTTTCTTTTCTTTGGCTGAGTTGGAGGTTAGTCTGGGCTGCCTGTGTGTGCATTTCCAAACCTGCACCGGGAGAGGTGGAGGCCTGGGCACTCAGAGGAACTCAAACCAGCAGCGCGGGTGGCTATCTCGGAAGAAAAAGGAGTAGGCGTTACAGAGGTTGCCAGCTTTCCGGTGGTGGATCAGGGACCACAGAGAGTCGCTGAAGAGGGCAGAGAGGGGCCGAGGCCCCTTGTGATCACCTTCCAGCGGCTTGACGATCTGCAGCTTCTCGGGCAGGTAGGAGCGGCTGCTGAACGACATGCCAGAGAAGCCGGTGAACTCCGAGAAGCGCGAGTGCGTGCCCAGGGACATGATGCTCTCGGTGGGCGTCAGGGAGCCGCTGAGCAGCTCGCCCTTCTCTGCCAGCTCCCTGAGCTTCCGCTCCTGCTCCTCCTCGAAGAACCTCCTCTCCGAGAGGTAGTTCTCCCGGCGGAGGGACAGCCGCCGCAGCGCCGTCTCCAGGTCGTGGGACCCCGGGGTGCCCGGCGTGCCCGGTTTCTTGCTCCGCTCCTCGTTTCTGGAAGGAGGGGAAACGGGGGTGGGGGGGTGGGTGAGCGCGGAGCACCCAGCAGGGGGCGCTAGACAACGACGGCCTTAACTGCTGGTTTCCAGGTGGCAGCTGGATCTTCTAAGGAAACCAAGGCAGTTGAAATTTAGGCTAAAATGGGGAAACAAATGCCTGTCCAGAATAACAATTCCCTCTGTTGGTTCTTTTTTTCCTCAGGGAGGTGAGGACGGAGCACTCAGGTGCATGGCAAATTTGCACACACTACATAAAATCCAACCCCTACAAAACATCTCCCTCATGACGCCTTAGGAAGAAAGCTTCAGGCTGATAACCAATATTTTATAACAACTCTAAGTGGACTCTAACCTTTAAAAATTGTGAATCACTATGTTGTACACTTACCTGTAACTGACATAATATTGTACAGCAACTATACTTCAATAAGAAAAATAATAAAGTCCAGAAAAACCCAAAGTTCTGATAGAGCAGTTTCCAACTGTCTGACCCATCAGTCAGAAAAGCCAATTTTGTGAAGTCATAGGAAAAGGATGGACAATGAAATGGCGGTGGTCGTGGGGTCCTGCAGGGCTTCAGGATGAGAGGGACAGACCACCACTGAAGAGGACCCATCCCAGTAATGCATAGTGTGGCGGGCACTTGCCAGACACCCTGCACCTCACCTTCTGAAGCGAACCAGATCTGGTCACAAGACCAAGCCTGAGTCCTCAGCTTTTCAGAATCCAAGCTACAAAGGGGGTCATGAAACAAATGTCTGGTCTGTAGCCTAACAGACAAAGATTAACAGAAAAAAATTGTCATTTATCCTCTCCTCCAACATTTTACAGAAAAGCCGACTTCTGGTGCATCCTCTCATGACTCTTTAAACTGGTTAACACAGCAGCATCAAGATAAGCATAAGCTCAGCCGGTTGGTACAACAGATTTGAGAACTGCAAGGTCTACACTTTTCAGGCGACTCTTATCAGCCCCCCTTCTTCTGATTACTGAACCTGTGTTCAATCCCCCCTACCTGTCCCCAAAGCAGAAAGATAAAAGAGCCCGGCTGGCTCACCCCAGGTCTGCTGACTCTGCTTCCAGGATGATGCTGTTGGTCTTGTTGTCAAGGACGACGTTTCCGACGTCGCTGCCGTAGAAGCTGGACCGGGGGGTGCTGACACAGCTGGACAGGAGGGAGTTCATGGCCGAGGACTGGTTGGAGCCAGGGATGTTCATGGTGGACGGGGTCAGAGACCTCTGCTTGACGACCTGGTTGATGTTTCTTACAGTCTCAAAGACTCGCTTCTGGTGACTGGGGAGAATGCACAACATCATCCATGACTAAGCAAATGCGGGAATGACCCTGGAGTTCAACCCTCCAAACACTATCCACCGAGAAGCCAATAGGCAGCTGGCCCACTGTGACCCCCAAGCAACCCGACACCCTATGTCTTTCACGTGTTTCTTAGGGTGCTGGTTGGAATTCAAGAGACTCAATACCCACAGAATTCAGGGCTCCACTACGTGGTTGTGTCCTAAAGTTGATACTGCTTCCTATTTCCCTTAAGCTTGACTTAAAATTTTTTTTTTTTTTTTTTTTTTTTTTCG